TGAGGGCAGCAGTGACCTCCCGCCTGAGAGGGTGTAGCTGTGAAATAAACACTGGCTACTTTGCAAATAAAAGGGGAAATATCTGAACCCTGAAATGATGATCGTGGCTCTCTTCCCCATCCCCATCTTGTTTTGAATATAGAACAATAAACAGTGGTCCTAAAGAATTTGAAATATGAAATGCAAATGCCCCGGGAAATAAGAAAATATATTTTTGAAAGAGCCAGCATCTGATCCACTGTAAAGTGAACCTCGTGTTGTGCCCTAGCTCCCGCCCTCCCTCCAGGACCGAATCCTGCATCATGTCCTCTAGTCAGCATCATTTTCTCTACTTCTCAATGTCCAGAGAACACTGAATTTGTGTAGTCATTACAAGAACAGCCTTTGGAGGCACTCTGGAGACTCAGAGTGCTTAAATCCCGGCTCCACTGCTTGCTGGCGATGTGACCTTGGACAAGTGTCTTTACCTCTCTGAGCCATCTATTTATAGTCATACTTATCTCAAAGAGGTTAATCGAGGTGATGTAAGCGAGGGCACAATAATAAGAGCTTTTTGTGCAATAATTCAATGACCTGGTGAGGTTGATACTCTTATCATTCCACTTTACAAACGAGAAAATGAAGTCTCAGCCTGCGAGAGGCAGTCAGTGCAGCCTCAATACCTTTGCTTCCATCGTTCCTCTACCCCTGACCCACTGCCAAGTGCACATCCGGAAACTTTCTTGACTATTTTCATCCTCTAAAAATCCTGCCCAGCCTCAATTCTATCTTGTCCATGAAGTCTCTGATTTTTTTTAATAGACTTTATTTTTGAATAGTTAATATATCCAAGCCGCTCAAAGTTCAAGAGTGGAGAGGGTACACTGGAAGCAGAAAGTCTCCCTCCCTCCTCTGTTACCCAGCTACACAGTTCCCTTCCCTGCAAGAAACTACTGGGACAGCTTCTTATGTGTGCCCTTCTTGACTCAGCCCAGACATGTTGTAAATTCCCACACATTTGTTCTCCTGTTCTATGCAAATGGTAAAATACAATAGAAGTTATTGTATACCTTGCCCCACCCCTTACCAGCTTGTTCTCTATTAGTAAGGCGTTTCTTCGTTCTTTTTTAACATCATTTTTATTGAATTATAATTCACATAGCATGCATTCATCCATTTAAAATGTACAATTCAATGATTTCTAGTATAGTTACAGAGCTATGCAACCATTACCACAATCAATTTGAGGACATTTTTATTACCCACCCTCCCCCGCCCCCAAAATCCCTACCCATCAGCAGTTATTTCTTATTTCTCCTCAACTCCCAGGCCTAGGCAACCACTAATCTACTTTCCATTTCTGTAGACTTGCCTATTATGAACATTTTATATAAATGGAATCACACAATATGTGGTCTTTTGTGACTGGCTTCTTTCATCAAACAATATTTTCGAAGTTCATCCATATTGTAGCATGTATAAGTACTTTCTACCTCTTTATTGACAAATAACTTTCCATTGTATATATGTACCACATTTTATTTATTCTTTGAAGGACATTGGAGTTGCTTTCACTTTTTGCCAATATGAATAATGGTGCTATGAAAATTTCACATACAAATTTTTGTGTAGACACATTTTCAGTTATCTTGAGTATGTACCTAGGAGTGGAATTGCTGGGTCATGTGGTAACCCTATGTTTAACCTTTTGAGGAATTGCCAAACTGTTTTCCAAAGGTACTGCACCATTTTACAGTCCTATCAGCAGTGTACGAGGCTACTAATGTCTTCATATTCTCATCAACACTCATTATTATCCATCTTTTTTTTAAATTATAGCCATTCTAATGGATGTAAGGTGGTAGCTCATTGTGGCTTTTATTTGTATCTCTGTAATGACTAATGATATTAAGCATCTTTTCATGTGCTTATTAGCTATTTATATAGCTTCTTTGGAGAAATATCTGTTCAGATCTTTTACCCACTTTTCAATTTTGTCATCTTTTTATTATTGAGCTGTGTTATTTACATATTCGGGATACCAGTCCTTTATCAGATCTATAATTCGCAAATATTTTCTTTCATTCTGTGTATTGTCTTTTCATTTTCTTGATTGTATCATTCACAGCACAAGTTTTAAGTTTTAATGAAGTCCAGTTTATCCATTTTTCTTTTGTCACTTGTGTCACGTCTAAGAAGGCTTTGCCTAAACCAAGATCATTAAGATCTATTTTTAAGAGTTTATAGTTTTAACTCACACATTTAGGTCTATGATCCATTTTGAGCTAATTTTTGTGAGTATTGTGAGGTAGGGGTCCTATTTCATTATTTTGCATGGAAATATACAGTTGTCCCAGCATAATTTATTGAAAAGACTATTCTTTCCCCTATTGAATTGTCTTGGTACCCTTATCTTGACCATAACTGTGAGGGTTTATTTCTGGACTCTCAATTCTGTTCCATCTATCCTAATGCCAATACCACACTATCTTGATTATTATAGTTTTAAAGGAAGTTTTTAAATTGGAAAGTGTTAGTCCTTTAACTGTATTTTACTTTTTCAAGATTGTTTTGGCTGTTCTGGGTTTCTTGCCTTTCCATATGAATTTTAGGATGAGCTTGTCTACTTTTACTAAAAAAAAGACACTCAAAGTTTTGATAGAGATTATGTCAATTTGGGGAGTATTGTCAATATTAGGTCTTCCAATTCATGAAGGGATGTCTTTTCCATGAGTTATCTTTCCCATCTCACGCAATGACTTTATTTGGGTCTTCTTACATTTCTTTAAAGAATGTTTTTTTTAGTTTTCAGAGTACCTTGCACTACTTTTGCTCAATTTATTCCCAAGTATTTTATTCTTTTTGGTGATATTGTAAATGAAATTGTTTTCTTAACTTTATTTTCATAATGTTCATCGCTAGTGTATAGAAATACAATTAGTGTTTATACTTATTTATTTATTTATTTATTTTTTAGGTGAGGCGATCCTTGATTGACCTCGTCAGCTTACGATCCCTTATTTTTTAAAATTTTTTACGCCTACATCCAAGTACTAACCAGGCTCAAACCTGCTTAGCTTCCGAGATCAGATGGGATCAGGCTCGTTCAGGGTGGCATGGCCGTAGACTAGATCTTTATATTTTTTGACAACTGCTTGGTACTCCATTACTGTATTATCATTTATTTTCCCAGTCCCAAGTGATGGATATTTAGGTATTCCCAGTCCTTTCCTGGTAAAAGCAGTGCTGCAATGACTCTCCTTCTACATACCCATGAAATCTCAAACATTTTCATTTTTCTTTCTCTGAGCTCCTACAATTGTCAGTTTCCACCACCGTAGCCCATGCCACCATTATCTTGCCCTTGGATGACTGCCTCAGCTTGCTCAGGCTGGGTTTCCTGCTATCCCTTGCCCCTCCAATCCATTCTCTACCCAGCAGCCAGAGAGATCCCATTAAAACACAAGCCAGTCTGGCTTACTCTGCTCAAAACCTCCAAAGGCTCTCATCTTATGTCAATTAAAGTATCTTCTCAGTACCAAGACATTCACGCCCTCACAAGCTAGCCCCCCTACCTCTCCAACATCATCTCCATCACTCTCCTCTGCACCCACTCTGTTTCGGCTCTGCTAGCCTCCTTGTATTCCTTACTACACCAAGTGTGGTTGCATCTCAGGACCTTTGCTATTATTATTCCTCCTGCTTGAAACACACTTCCCCCAGATTATCACATGATGTACTCTCCCAGTTCAGTTGGTCTCTGTTCACATAGCCCCACTTCAGAGAAGTCTTCCCTGACCAGGTGTCAAGTCACACCATCACTCCTCCTACCCCTGCTACCTCTCCCCTTGCCCTGCTTTGTTTTTCTTATAATCCTAATCACCCTTGGACGTAAGATGCTAGCTGATGCTCACAATGACTCACAAAAGTAAATACTATTATTATTCCCACTTGACAGATTAGGAAACTGAGGTCAGAGAAGTGACATGATTTATGCAGGATCACTCAGTTGATAAATGGTTGTGCCAGGGTTTGAACTCTAGTCTGACTCCAAAAATGCAGTAGTTAGTGCCACTTTTTGTGGTCAGCTATATTCCCCATGACGATGAATAAGTGAATGGATGAATGACTGAATGGACAAAAGGTTTACCACCCCAAATACTGAGTGGTAAGACAGTGTTTCAGGACAAAATTTGTAATTGTAATAAATGTTCTTTGATGCTAATATGAGTTAGATGGGAAAATTTTTTTAGTTAAAAACAATGACAATATCAAACTGGCAAGGATATGGAAAATAGAAACCATTCATTGATGGTGGGAATGCAAATGGTTTAATCACTTTAAAAACCAATTTAGTAGTTTATTATAAAGTTAAACATAGACTTACAATATGATCCAGCAATTCCAGTCCTAAAGATTTACCCAAGAGAAATCAAAACATGTCCACACAAACCCTTGCACATGAATGTTCATAGCAGCTTTATTCATAGAGCCCCAAACTGAAAACAACCCAAATGTCCATCAAAAAGTAAATGGATAAACAAATAGTGATACATCTACACTGTGGAATACTACTCAGCAGTGAAAAAGAACAAAATGCTGGAATGTGTAACAACATGGAAAATCTCAAAAGCAATGTCAGTAAAAGAAGACAGACATAAAAGAAACATACTGTATGATTGCATTTATGTAAATTCTAGAAAAGACTAAGCTAATCTATAATGACAAAAAGACATTCAGCAGTTACCTAAGGCAATGGATGGAAGAAGTTGACTGCAACAAGGTAAAAAGGAACTTTTTGGAGTAATAAAAGTGTTATATATCTTGATTAGGATGGTGGTTATACAGGAGTATACATTTGCCCAAATTCATCAAGCTGAGCATTTATAATGGTGTGTTTTATTTATAAAAGCATTCGACAATAAAATTGATAGGAGCTTTGGGAACATGTACAAGGATTTATATTACACCATTACTTTAATAGCAAAAAAAAAAAAAAAAAAGAAAGAAAGAAAAGGAGGCCAGGGTGGCGGCGGGAAGAGGAATTGGTTAACAGGAGAATGTTTCAGCTATCTGTGGTCCTTTGCCATCACAATGGCAGACTTATGGAAAAAGACGTAGCTGATGCTGATAATGACCCTCTCATGTCCCCAGAACCCGCATCTCTCTTCCCGGAGGTCGGATTTACCGCCTCCCCCGTTTTTGAAGTCCTCTGAACCAACAGGAAATCGGCCAAGAATGAGCCAGAGTGGTTCCCGCGGGTCAGGAACCTTGAATGGCGTTTGAATAGCACGAGGCTTGTGGAGCGGAAACCGCGGACCACAGAACTGCCAGGAAGGCTTGGGACTCGGCTTGGGGGAAGGGCTGACTAGAAAGAGGGAATTAGAATGGTGGGGGAAACGGATCAGAATGTTTGGAGGTGGGGGCAATTAGAACCCAGTCAGAGCCCATAGGGTAGGGTTAGAATCCTTCGATTGGGGATAGGGGTAGCGGGATAGGATTCCTGGAGGGCAGGACTAGAATCTTTGGATGAACCTGATTAGAATCTGGCGGGATGGAGTCAAATCCTTTGGGAACAAGGCTGGGATCACCCAGGAGCGGGATTAGAAGCCCGGGGTGTTAGGGTTATAAATCTCGAGGGCTAGGATAGAATCCTTTGAAGAGAGGTGTAGGATCCTTCGATTGACTAGATTAGAATCCCTGCGGTAGGATTAGAAACCTCCGGTGGGCGAAGTTAAAGATCCTTCAGATGTGATTCAAAATCATTTAGAGCAGAGTGAGGACCTTGGGAGGAGGAGACAGGTTGTTGGGGTTCTTGGGGAGGCGGTTTTAAAACCCCAGGGTGAGGTTTAAAACCTCTGGGGACAAGGTTAATATGTTAGGAAGCGGGATTAGAATTCATGAGGAGAGGTGTTAGCATATTTGGGGGAGAGAGATGGAGTCAGGATTTGGGGGGAGAAGTTAAAATTATTGGGGGCGGGGTTATTATCCATCAGGGGCTGGGTTAGAAGCCTCGGATGGGCGGTGTTAACAAATCCTTAGGCGGCGGGATTAGAATTCTGGAAGTGGAGGCGCAGTTTAGAATCCCAGGGGTGGGGTTAGAATCTTCCGGGGGCGGGGTTAGGACGGTTTGGGGCGGGGTTAGCATCGCTCCGGGCTCGGCTTAGGCTCCCAGATGGCCTGTGGGCGTCACTGTATCCCCGGTTCCCGCACCAACTCACCGCGGAGGCGTAGAGGCAAGTGGGAGGTGGATCCGGGCAGTCCGGCGCCAAAGGAGCCCGAAAAGACCCGCGCTCGGAGGGCCCTAACCTCTTCTTCAGTCAGTCCGTCTTCCTTGGGCACGGGCCACCCGGGACCCCGGGGACTGCTGAACTGGGGGGGCGCTCGAGCTGCGAGGATCCGGGCTGCCCGCGGGACGAGGAGCGGGCGCCCAGGTGAGTGCCACAGACCGGAGACAGGGTCACCCTCCAGTGAGCTCAATCTGAAGGTCCTCCGGCTGCTGGGGAGCCCAAGTGGTGGGAAAGGCAGGCTGGGGTACAATGGGAAGGTACCGTCGGGGAAGCGGCAGACAGGCCGTGGGATACTGGGCAGACCGAGGCGGGAGGGTGCCCAGATGAGGGGCGAAACTGCCCCGCTGCCAACCTACCAAAGCTGGAGCGAAGGGGAAGCTCAGGCCGCCAAGTGACTTTATGCTGGAACCGCCACTTCTCTGAGCCATCCAGGTTCCCCTTCTGAAAAAGAAAAAACGAGAAGGAAGGGATGGGGCTTTATGAGGCCTTTACGGTTCCCCAGTGCGGGTGGGTGACGGGTCACGGCGACTTGGCAGCGGCCGTGGGGAAGGGGACAGCTGGTCGTAGGCGTGACCTGCGAGCCACACCCTGGCAGGGCTGCAGCTGAGGACTCTCTTCCTCCTCCTCTTCTTCTTTCTCCGCTGGGCCCTGATCCCCACCAGGTCTAGGTCAAACCCCAATACCTCCTGGATAGACTGCGGGATGTCTGCCCCATCACTTTCCTCCTCCTGAGACCTTGTGGAAGTCACTCTCCCTCTCTGAATTCCAGTTTCCTCATCTGTCAAATGCGGCTCTTAATTCTTTCTTCCAAGACTGCAGTAAGCTAGAGTATGTTAGAGCGCCTGCATGTGAGAGACAGTTGAGTGTCCTGGTTAAGGAAGGTGGCTTCTGGGAGCAATCTGCCTGTGGGACTTTGGGCCAGGGTTTGGCCTTTCTGTGTCTCTGCTTCCACAATTACAGAATGGATATAATAATAATAATAATAATAATAATAATGGCTCCCTCAAGGGTTATTTAGGTTGAGTTACTGAAGGAAAGCTCTTAGAGAGCAGAGGTCCCCAATCCCTGGGTTACGGGAGGGGTACTGGTCCCTGGCCGGTTAGGAACTGGCTGCACGACAGGAGGTAAGCAGCAGGCTAGTGAGCTAGCAAAAAACTTCATCTGTATTTGCAGCCACTCCCCAGCGGCTGGCATTGCCACCTCAGCTCCATCTCAGATAATCAGGCATTAGATTCTCACAGGAGCATCGGTCCCTGGTGCCGAAAAGGTTGGGGACCGCTGTCTTAGAGCACTGCCTGACAGGTATACATGCTTAACACATGTTAACTATGGTCATAGCTATTATGGTCTAGCCTAGTGGTTCTCTAACTTGAGCGGTACATCAGAACCACGTGGAAGGCTTGTTAAGATATTTGGGCCCTGACACCAGAGTGCCTGATTGTGTAGGTCTGGAGCAGGACCTAGAGAATTCGCATTCCCAGGCGAAACTGATGCTACTGGTCCAGGAACCACACTTTGGGAACCACTAGTGTAACCTGTGGCTGGCACAGAGAAAGGCCTCAATAAATAACAGTTCTCTTATCCCAAGGCTTCCTCTTCACTGACCCTTTTTTGGGAGGAGGGGTTAAAATACAGAAAGTGAAGAGAATTATATATTCAATATTCCAGGAATCCACCACCTAAAGTTATCAAATGATGGCGTTTTGTCATGTTTCCTTCAGATTTTTAAAAAATAAAATTACTAGGAGATGAAATCGAAGCCTCCCCACATTGTGTCCCTCTCAGCTGTTTCTCTCCCTTCTCATAGGCAACCGCTGTCATGAATTACAGTCCTTCCAGCCTGTGCCTTTATAAATTTATCACATATCTACAGATGCATAAACAATGCATAGAATCCTTTTCCGTGTCTTTTAAGATCTATGTAAATACTATCTGCAGTTCTCCCCGCTACCTTCTTATGGTTAAGTTGTCAGTGTCTAGCCAGGATGAGAAAAAGAGGTCTATTTTATTCCTTCTAAGTGGAGTGTCCCCGCAGGCGACCACCTTACCTTATTTCTCATTCCCCTGTCGATGAACGTTCAGGTTGTTTCACATGTTCACTACAACAAACGATACTGCTGGGACCATCCTTGGGCACATGGGCAGGTGTTTCTTGGGTGGCTCTCCAGAAAGGGCACTTGTGGCCCTCTCTTTTTGTGGGAGAAGAGGGCTGAGATCTGGAAGGGTCTCCCAGGAGGTCTGGGATAGAGAAGAGAGAAGAATGTGGGTCTGTTACCTCCCACCTCTCTCTAGACCCAGGACCACTGCCCCCCAGGTCTCCTGATCTCGGCTGCGGGAGGGCAAAGATCATCCACCTCGTTCACTGTACCTGACACTTGGTAGATACTCAAACCAAGGAGCATTTTTAAAAATTTTGAATCACAAACATTTTAGTTTACTTTTGTATAGTCTTCTTTTCTGTGCACTTTTTATTTAATGTAATTAGTTAAAATGCTGCATATACAATTTTTATCCCACTTATTCACTTAGCATTACATTGTAAGCATGTTTCTACGTCCTTGAATTTTTTTTATGGTCACATAATATTCCACTGTTTGGATATATCATAGTTTGTTAAACCCTCCTAGCAAAGCACTTTTATGTAGTAATATCTTTTGTGCTGAAATTCACATAACATTATAAAATTAAAAAGTGAATAACATGGCATTTAGTACATTCACATCCACTACCTCTATGTAGTTCTAAGACATTTCAACCCCACAAAAGGAAACACCATACGCATTAAGCAGTTACTCCCAATGCCTTCCTCTCTCAGCCCTTGGCAACTACCAACTTGCTTTTTGTCTCTATGGATCAATTTATTTTGATCATTTCATATAAACAACCAAATAGCACAATATGTGACCTTTGGTGTCTGGCTTATTTCACTTAACATAATGTGTTCAAAGTTCATACACATTGTAGCATGTATCAGTATTTCATTCCTTTTTATGGCTGAATAATATTTCATTGTGTGTATATACCACCATTTGTTTAGCAATTCATCCATAGATGGAGATTTGCATTGTTTCCACCTTTTGGCCATTGTGAATAGTGCTGCTGTGAACATGCATGTACGTGTATTTGTTTTGAGCAACTTGGGTAGATATTAAAGACTGGAACTGCTGGGTCATATGGTAATTCGTGTTTAACTTTTTGAAGAATTGCCACATTGTTTTTTACTATTTTACAGTCCCATCAGCATTGTATAAAGGTTCCAATTTCTCCACATCCTCGCCAGCACTTGCTATTTTCCTTTTTAAAAATTATTATTTGTATAGCCATCCTAGTAGGTATGGAAAGCATAAATCTTAATCTCACCCCAACAGGCTGCTGTCTGGGGGCCTTACCCCTCTGCATTCAGAGGACAAGCCAGGGCTTGGATTTTAAATTCTTTTAGAAAGTAAGTCCCAAGAGGCACGGATATGTCTATCTCCTGAACCACTGTATCTCTAACACCTGGCATCTGGCACCTAGTAGGACCTCAAAAATATCGAATGTAAGGATGTTGAACAACTTCTCCCCTCCCTTGCTTGATATATGTCAGCACACAGATGTATTTCACTTGGCTTCAAACGGCAATTCTTTTTCAGTGGTTGCTAATGTTTAAAGAGAAGAACACTCACATAAATCTAGATTTCTGTATTCTTTTGAAAATCTGGAAGAGTTATCAGTCATGGAGCTAGAACCTCCATCTCCCATGCTCCTCTGCTATTCACTCATGGCGACACTGGTGAAGCCAAGCAGGGGCTGCCCTGCACACTGCCCAAGCTGTCCAGCGAGCACCACCCTTGTCTGGTGGACCACCTTCCTCATGTGGATGGCCCTGTGGGCCCCTCCAGTCATTTGAGTTTTCAAGCCCTGCCCTCCAATCTTAAAAGTCCTCTCTTTTTTTATAGAAAAGGAACGTCAGGCCCAGAAAGGGTAAGTAACTTTACCAAAGTCACACAGCTAGTTTGTAGTTCAATCTCTCTTAGCCTCTGTGTTTCTCAACAAACCCCCACAGCACTTTGATCGCTACCCCATTTCTCTAGTTTCCTCTGCCCCAGGACTGGGAGTTTTAGTGTACTTTCAGAGGCATGGGTAATGATGCAGAAGAAAGCCTTGCTTGCATGTAAAATGCGCCTTTGTTCTTGGCCAGTGTCTGTGGCCACACATGCTGCACCCTCTGCATGTCACTGCACCCTCTGGATGGCACTGCAATGGGGCTTGCTTTCCTAATTCTGGCCTAAGACACCTACCCGAGCTCCCATCATCACCTTGAAATCCTTTGGCCCAGGAGACTTAGGTCCAGCCAAGAGAATAGGAGACCCTCCCTCATCTCTGCCAGAGAAACGAAGAACAGTGGACAGAGCACAGGAGACCCGAGTTGGAGTGCCACCATTGTCCCATACAAGTTGTGACGCATTGGGCAAATTCTTTCACTCTCTGAGTCTCAATTTCCTCATCCAAAAAATGAAAATAGAAGGATACTACCTCATAATCCATGCAGGACAATTCCTTTGATGTTAACACACACACACACACGCACACACGCACACACGCACACACGCACACTCTCTCTCTCTCTCTCTCTCTCTCTCTCTCTCTCTCTCTCTCTCTCTCTCTCTACTTTTCAAGGGTATATATGTCTCAGCTGGAGTTTCCCCAGAAGCAAATCCTAGAAAAGATTTCAAATGCATTTACTATTTGGTTTTTTGGGGAATTGATCTCAGAAAATTCTGGTAGGAGAGTGGAGATGCAAAACTGGGAAGAGAAGGCAGTCCATGGAGGTGTGTTAACAAGCCACTCAACCCTGTGGGTACCTGGAGCTCAGTTCCACTGGGAGCTCTGGGAGGCCATGAACCCACTCAAGAGGTGAGGGAACTGAGACATGAACCCACCTGCTCCTGTCAGTCACTGTTTGAGAGCTGTCCTGGCGAAATCATATATCTCTAGCACTTCCATTTGCCAAGCTCATGGGCAGAGCAGGCACCAGTGGCCACAGAGAAATCTCTCAGGCAAAGAGATGCAGGTGCTGGCATTTGGAAGTCCAGCGGGAGTGGTCCAAAAGAGTAAAGGGCGAAGTGAGTGCAGACGCAGAGGCTACCTAAGAGGGAAGGGGT